TCATTTCTACGGATAGCATTTTTGAAATTTGGAGATGATTGAACGGATCTAATATCTAACGGCAATAAGTTCCATGCACGAATTGAAGAAGGGAAAAAAAATTAGAAAATATGTCCAATCGACATCTTGGTACTATATAGGTGTAATACCACCATTAATTTTCCCCTATTAGTCTTTGTTAAATTTGCACTTTTCAAAAAAATGTGCAGAATTTATCTTTGTTTCATATAAAGAAATACTTGGCATGAGTAAAGATTTATCCTGTCCAGTACTATAGAAAAAATTTCACATAACATTTCATTCCATATAAGAAAGTAACCATCACTGGAAGTTAACACATCAAATTTTCCCCCTTTTTTAACCTAGTAACCATGTGACCTCAAGTTTCCAAAATATTCTATAGAAACCCCAAATAAAAAAATAATGGTGCTTTGAAATACCCAAGATATATGTTTATGACCCAGAAATGTTTTACTGCAATGAAATGTAGGATCAATTACCTGCAACTGTCAAATTCAAGGGAATATTTTTTTTCGACCTATTTTCGGATGTGACGTACTATGATTTGGTGGTATTACACCTATATATAGTGATTTGATTTGATTTTTTGTTTTTTAACGCCACTTTTAAGCACCGCTTTTGGGCTATTTCGTGGCGGCCAGTTTTTATTGGTGGAGGAAGCCAGAGTGCCCGGAGAAAACCACCGACCTTCGATAGGAAAACTGACAATCCTAGTCAATTAAGATTGGAGTCGAGTGCACCCGCACGAGCGGGGTTCGAACTCACAACCTCAGTGTTGACTGGCTAGTGATTACAGTAGTAACTACTTAGACCACTCGGCCACCGAGGCCCCCCTATATATAGTGAGAACGGTTTCTACGTAGTATTATAATAACTACTATCTACATAATCTGATATACAATACATAAGATATTCGGGAACTATACTATTGTGAATTTTATGATATAACACAATTCACCGTCTATTTCTTCTAGAACTCAAAGTTTCCCATCCTGTTTAAAAAATAGGGAGTCTTTGCTTGCAAATTGCGGAAGTCCAGTAATAATTCTGGCTGCCTCAAATTGCAATTTTTTTCAGAACCTTTTACACAGCATCCATCCCATAGCCTGCTCGCGCGCATCATATTCTAAACGTGGAAGTATGCATTCGATATATATATCTTACCAATATTGTTTCTGTTAAGAATATATTTCAATTTCCGGAGAACAAAAATCTGTTTTGTGGCACTACAGCAAATATTATCTATATGGACTGTCCACTTGCATTTGTTAGAAATAGTAACACCCAAATGTTTGTGGACATCAACTTTTTAAATAAATTGTCCATTACATTTTAAATTAATAGGCTGTCGGAATCCTTACGGAAATTAGACACAATATATTCTGTTTCTTTTACATTGTGACCGTTTCGCAACGGATAGTTAGTTGTACTTTGTATACATGGGGGGGGGGGGGGGGGGGGTGATAAGATTACACAGGTACTCAGGTGCATGTTTTTATTCATATCATAGAACATCTGTAATTTTCTTCTTCCTTTTCTTCTTTCATATAAAGATTCCCAGCCCCTACCTCAGAGTACAGAGTATCAGTTTTAGTGAAAATTGGTAGACCTGTTACAACTCTTGCGGCTTCCAATTGCAAGTTTTCTAAGGAGAAGGTCCTGTAAAGGCTGATTTTGGCCTAAAATTTGAAGAACATATGATGAAAGATTTTTGACATTTTTTAAACACTTTAGTGTCTCCTTCAGTCGATTCAATTAGTTTATGTAAAGCTTAAATATGAAAAACCTATCAAATATGCCACAAAACGTCACTTATCAGACGGTTTTTGTCTAAAAATGCATGGAAGTGGTCGCATTCGTGTTCAGTCTCAACCTTTATATATGTTATGTATCCGATCATCAAATACAACATACATTTAAATATATCGACTGAACACTAGTGCGGTCACTTCCATTTTAGCCTAACAAAAATCGTCTAAAAATAAGTACAAATGCTGAAAATTGTGAAGATTTCAGTAATTTTGCACGAATTAATTATGCTAGTACCTGATGCATGTGCAGTGTAATAACAAAAGCAGCCTATAATTATGTAACAAAAGTATTCTACTTTCCAATAAATAGCTAAAAGTTTACATTTTTAACAAATTTTTGAAATGCTATATTTTTTTGGCCAAAAAGGGATCTTACCGAGCTTACTCCTTTATTTGAATAACATATCCCTAAAGTATCCCACTCTTCCGTGGAATATTCAAAAATGGGTCTAATAAAAAGTAAGTAAAGTTTTTCTAAATTATTTCGAAACATTCGATATTTAAGTTTACGCAGATCATTAATAGGACGGTAGTTTGAACCCATCGATTTATCACATTTTTTGATAAAAGCAAAGGCATTTGCAACATTCCATCAGCTTGGAAAGTTTGAATTTCTCATTGAACAATCGAATATATATGATAAAGGTACTCACAAATTATTAGCAGTATATTTCAACATTTGACTACTAATACAACATATACAATCTGGCGAAATTGTTATCTTTGGAAAATAAAATTTGGCGCAAATTTAGCACTTGGTTCTAAATGCCTCGTGCTTTGCGGCGAAGCATCAACTACCAAATTTTAATTTTAAAGTGTTCGGTTTGCTGTGACTCTGCCAGCAAGAACGGAATACAACGGCTATATATATATATGTCGCAACTCAATATGCCACTCGACTATATTTCGCTCATATATATGTAGGACTCGGAGATGCGATGGGGACGCTGAAGTGCGATGGTCACGCTGAAGTGCAATGGTCTGCGCCGAAGTGCGATGGTCCTTTCGCTGATGTGCGATGGTCTGTGAGACGCGTGATGGCTAGTTTAAAATTTACAGATGTCCAATTATTATGAGAGCTTGAATTTTTTATAATTTAGTATATAAATATCATAAGTTCAATATTTTCTCCAGTTGCAGTAAAAAACATCGATGATCTATCTTATTTACAGCAGCGTATATATTTTTCGTTTATTTTGTCTGACTTACCAAGAAGTATTTGCATCTAAAACAAACTACCACATTTTTTTAGTCATTGTAATGGGTACTGGTTTTAAAGGAAAATAGCTTCTGCATGTAGCATCGATTTCTGAACAATTGTATGAATGACTGTTTTTTTTTTAAAAGCAATTTACAAAGTATAATGTACACTACGCCGTTACAGTCAAAATAGAAAATGCAATGACTTTCAGGGGCGGATCCAGAACCTCGATGTATGGGGGGGGGGGGGGGGGGGGGTTTCTTGTATGATATTGAAAAAAAAATATTTTGTTGTTTAAGAAAGTCACATAAAAGACAGTTTCAAGAAAAAAATGGTAATGTGGGTATTTTGTTATGAAGACATATCAGTTGATATTTTATAGTGTGTCTTTCTATGTTGTGATGTTACACTATTGTTTCAGAAAAAGGGTGAAGGTTTGGTACCATTAAAAGGTTTAAACCCGCTGCATTTGTTTGCACCTGTCCTAAGTCAGGAATCTGATGTTCAGTAGTTGTCGTTTGTTGATGTGGTTCATAAGTGTTTCTCGTTTCTCGTTTTTTATATAGATTAGACCGTTGGTTTTCCCGTTTGAATGGTTTTACACTAGTAATTGTTTGGGGCCCTTTATAGCTTACTGTTCGGTGTGAGCCAAGGCTCCGTGTTGAAGACCGTACTGTGACCTATAATGGTTTACTTTTATAAATTTTGACTTGGATGGAGAGTTGTCTCATTGGCACTCATACCACATCTTCTTATATCTATATATCCCATATATCGATAAAATTGAGAATGGAAATGGGGAATATGTCAAGAGACATCAACCCGACCAAAGAGCAGACAACAGCCGAAGGCCACCAAAGGGTCTTCAACCCAGCGAGAAAATCCCGCACCCGGAGGTGGTCCTCAGCTGGTCCCTAATTAAATTGTGTACTAGTTCAGTGAAAATGGACGTCACACTAAACTTAAAAACGATACCAACATTCATGACACTTAACATCTATTTGTACCTATATTCCTTAAAAACACAGATTTTAGTTGTTAATTTCTTTCCTGATCAGAAGATTAAACCTGTTAATCAATCTTAATCTGTAATATTGTATTAAAAGCCAATAAAAATAGTCGTACTATTCCAATCAACATGTACAAGTAGTTTACATAAAAGCTTTTTCAAAGAGACATTACACACAGGTGTCAATATTTGCACACCCACCGATAACTTGTCAAATCACGCATGTTAAAGATGGGGTTAATTAACGGCCAGTTTAAGAAGTCAAATCAAGCTGTGATTAATTTCCGCTCTAGATAAGCAGATTCAGTAGCAAAAAAGTTATGTTAGAAATTTTTTTGGTAACCTGGACTGTGTGCACCCCTGTGCCCCCCGGTAAATCCGCCACTGACTTTTTATTATGACTGTTTATAATTAATTTGGCTCTGGTGCCTTCCTCCATCTTGGATTTCGATGTAGCAGATAACGTTGGTCTAGATATTTCATGAAATGTGCAAATCCTGAAAGTAGTATGTAATTTATGTAAAAGACTTTCGATGTAAATATGGAAAATTGTGTGTTTTATCATAATTACGACTATAATTTCTCAAAGACACCTTCTTTGTGTTTGATTAGATTTTTTTCAACTTTGCCAAATAAGGGGAGATAACTCAGATAAAGTAATTTTTATAATAGAAAGTGTTGTGAATTTACCTATTTTGATATGTAGCAAGAAAGCAAGTTCGGTGACCCCATTTATTCTTTTTCTTATCTGAAACCACTGACTGCTTAACAGGGGGCCCGCTCCAGTCATGCTTCAGTGATTCCCTATATAATCAACCAAATTTTTCCCAAAAAAGGGGGGACCGGGCCCCCTGCCCCGCCCCCCCCCCTAAATCCGCCTCTGTACATATGGTACAAATAAATGATGTATATCAGAAAATTGGGGATTTATGATAATAAAGGGGGAGAGTCTATGGGGGCTCAGCATAGGGTCATGTCCTTAAGAACCTATGACATAAATAACTTGAAAGTTCCAGCCTTGCTAAATGGAATGGTCAACACAATGCAACCATTATCAGTTTATTTATTGTATGAAACATGACGATGATTTTATTTTCGCTATAAATCAGGATCGAGCTTGAGGCTTTATCTAACGGAAAAGACGGAAAAGACCGAATGCACGCGAACATCGATCGTCGACAAAACTAGGTTATCTAGCCGGTAAACCAGGGAACACAGGTAAGCTTCAGACATTTCAGGACACAGTAACGCAGTTGTCAGGTTTGTAGACAGAGTAAGTTGTGGCTTTCTGACACAAAACACTTTTTAATCATATTATTATATGATTTATCTGGTAGTTTTCAGTCCTACTTCTCCTTTGTCCTAAATTATGAACCAGGTCATGACTCGTGGTCGTTTTTTTTTTTTTTTTTTTTTTTTATAGTTTTGCAAAAGCACGAGACATTATTTAGATATTGCCACTTTCTCCTATTCTGATGTCGAGAAGTGTTGTAAAGTTGCAAATCTTTCAAGATGCTGTTCACAAGAAATAATTAACTCGCGGAGTTTTTTTCTTCAGTAAAAAAAGGGGGATGCATACAATGGAGTGGTGTATCGTCTGTTTGTTAACATTAGATTGGTTTACTCTAATTCAGTATGCCTGAAATGAAAACTATGGCCGTGTTTACACCACAAAATCTACTATCATGTATGAGTACAGACAAACTGGTGCATGTATGAAAGTTTTAAGGCATGGCAGGACCTTTATATATGAAAATTATATATATATATATGTAGTCTATGTTTCAGAAAATTAAAAACTTACCTGGATTTTGATGTGCAATTTTTTTCCAGTCTGCAGAAGATGGCAAAATAATCGAACACAAGTTTTTTATATGGTCCACTCAGTTACACAGTTTAAATCCCCTATTGTTAATGCATTGTCCATTTAAATCATACTTAAATCTTACACTCACAACATTTATTATATGACGGGAGCTTCTCAAACCTCTTTCCAAGCTTAGTTTATTTTGGCACCTTCTGCAGGAATAAATAAAAAATGAATAGCAACATCCAGAAAAGTTTATTATTTTCTGAAGTATAAAATGCTTAATTTAATTATCTATAGTTCCTGCCATGCCTTAAAATTTTGCACAGGTTTGTCTGCACTCAGAATAAAATTTGTGGTGTAAATACAGCCATTTTAGCCAAAAGGTTATGATGAACCTTAAATATTAATTTACTGAGAATACCTTCTTATTGTCTTGAAAATGCCTTTTTTGATGAGGGTGTGGATGGGGGTTTACAGAATGGAGAATAATGGGCAAAAAATATAAAGAACAGAGAAAAATGGCCTAAAAAAATAAAGAAAAGAGAATAATGAGGTGCTAAAATATAAAGAACAGAGAAAAATGGCCTAAAAATTTAAAGAATCCAGAAATGACAAATGAATGAAAAGACCCCCCATCCATACCCTCCTACATGTATATGGTTCTGGGTGGAGTTTACAGAAAAGAGATTAATGGACCTAAACTACAGAAAAATGGACTAGAAAAATAAAAAATAATGAAAAATAGGCAAAAAAAATAAAAACAATATAGAATAATGGGGTACTATAAACATGATAAATATAAAGAATAATTGGCAAAATTTATAAAGAATATTTTAAGTTTGCACACCCCTCCTACTTTTCAGTCTACTCCTAAGCCACTGAAATATAAAAGTCTACATGTTAATAAAAACACAATAACCAATAACTGTGAATGGATAAATTCATTGGTATCAAGTTACATGTAAGTTATGTAATATAAGGTACATGTTTTTGTATGTGTTTTGGAGTCACCAATGTATTAGCCAGAATAATTCTGACCCTTTCCATAACATGCATAATCGATCTCTCAGGTTTTCTCAGACACAGCACAGTTTTACAGGGATATTTTGGTTTACTTTCCTTTAATTTGCAACATCCTAATGTGTTATTTTATGCAAATTTACCATACATGTAGGTAGGACATATCAATTTTGGAAAATTTATTTCTTGCGTGAGTTGTATCCATCACTAGGATATAAAACATGATAATGTTTTCCCTAAAATATGAAATATTCATGCTAAAATCCCAAATAAGTCATAGCTTAACATGTTAAACTTACTGTAAAAATTTCTTGATCTATATCTTTTTTATATTTATATTTCAGATACACTATAACTATCAAAGATGCCAAAATTAGTTTACTTTCCAGTTAGAGGTAGGTACATTTTGTTCTGTTTTCCCTCCACTCGTCCTGAACATGCCTGAAATATTTGCCACTGGATGTTAAGCAACAAACAATAAATCAATTAATTATGTCATGTATGTTTTCCTTTTATCTTATTCAAATTATCAAAATAAAATTTATTTTCCTTTGTTCTGGTCAAGGATTTTTATAGTAAGATAGAATACCCTACTATGCAAATCCTTGTTCCATTGATTTTGTTCTTAATTCTTTGGTTTTATTTCTTAGTTGATTTTTTTTTTTTTTTAAACCTGAATTCCACTCAAATTTTAAACTTTTTGTTTTATTATATTCTTCTTTGCCATGTATCTTCTGAATGATTTTGGTACATCTAGCATGTATTATAAGAGCTTGAATGTTAACGGGTGTACAGTGTCCTCTACCATGCCTCTTTCTAGGCTTGTTTGTGTAGTACACGACAGGTGACACATGTGGAGAGGGATCTGCTTACCCTTTCCGAGCACCTGAGATCACCCCCAGTTTTTGGTGGGGTTCGTATTGCTCAGTCTTTAGTTTTCTATGTGGTGTTTTGCGTACTAATGTTTTTATCGTTGGTCTTTTTCTGTTTTAGCCATGGTGCTGTCAGTTTATATTCGACTTGTGAGTTAGAATGTCCCTTCGGTATCTTTCGCCTCTCTTTTTCAATACTGTCTTATTTAGCAATACTTTCAATTCTTTTAATTTTTAAATACAACATCAACAGCTTTCATATATAAATTTTTGTTTTCTTTCCTTTTTACTCAAAATATGGTATTTCTCTAATTCAACATGTACATTCAAAATTGATGATAAAGATGGTATTTCTCTGTCCAATACGTTATTCACAATTAATTTAGATAATTTAGTCTCCTATATCAAGCTTTGATATTTTGTTTATAGGCCGAGCTGAAGCTATGCGCACATTATTGACAGATCAAAACGTAACATATGAAGAAGTAAATGCAGGACCCATAGAAAATTGGGTAAACAACTGGAAATCTAAGATGGTAAGCATACAAAAACAAAAGTTTACATTTAACATTTTAAAAATCTTTTCTGTATAAAAAATATAAGCATTTGTTTTAAAACCAACCTTGTTCAGAACTCTTACACTACACATAAAACTGAACACTGAGAAACCTAAACCCCACCAAAAACAAGTGGTGAAGAATATGAATGATTCAAATCTTTAGCTTTCAGTCAAGTATTTGATTTAAGGTAACGTTATAATACTTTATTAATGCATTTGTTGGGGATAAAGTTGATCAAAGGGGTGAATGAATATCTTACTCGGGACAATTTCAATCTTGGAGCTTAAATAAAATTGATAACAATGAATTTGATTTCTTTCTGTAAGTAGGTTTGAATATATTATGTATAAGAATACTGATCTAGACAGATACTTGGAAAATGTCAAAGAGACACAATAACCTTGTCAATTCAGGGATGCATGGACCCAATTTACCTTTTAATTTTTAATTGATGCCAAGAATCAGATAGTAGTAAAAAAGTTTTTCTGGTAATGGAAATGATATGAATTTAAAGTATTAACTCATTCTGGGGCTTTGGAAGGACAAACAATTCCTGCTCAACTATTGTTTTAATTGGCTAAAACAAATTGCAATGAAGGAAGCTTGAGCACTATATCACATGATATTTTGTTAAAGAGGGATAAATAAGGAGATTTTTACTTCAAAGTTGGAGATTTGGTTTCCTGTCTGATTATTGGTCTTGATAGAGAGAATTCAAGTTTAAAAAAGTAAATTTTAGTTGACACCTTAAGATTATACAATATGCAAATAACAACAGTCCATTAGGAGTGGTATCACTGCTTTTACAGAATACAAGACAATGACTGACAAGGATTGTAAAGTTTAGTTTGTAAAAACCTCTCAAGAAACGGTTACACTTTGAGAATCCTATAGAAATAGAAATAGAGAAATTCTTTTTTGACCAATTATGGACCCTTGTGGGTTTTAAATTTCATACAATGATTACAATGATTTTTTTATGACAATGAAATAATAAAGTACAACATGATAGAACAATGAATAATTAGTGTATGCACATGAAAGAGAAAAGTTAATAGGGGAGACAACCAATTGATATTTAAGGATTATTTCCCTTGACACACTAACTGTTAAACTTTGAAGATGTGTTGTTCAGAGTTGGAAAAAAAGAAGTTATATAGATCTTAATTTATGCTATAATTTAATTTCAGCAATTTGGCCAGTGTCCATGTTACACAGATGATGATGGTTTCCAGCTTGTGCAGTCCAATGCAATACTAGCATATCTTGGCAGAAAATATGGTAAACTTATTATTTTTATGCCCCACCTTAATGATAGTAGAGGAGCATTTTATTTTCTGTCTGTGTGTCAATCTGTCTGTTTGTCTTTTCTGTATCAGGGTAAAGATTTTGTTTAAGGTGGTTTACTATGAGGGTCGTAATGGGGGTACCTTTATGATGAATAACGGTAAAAGTCTTGCCAAATGACGTTTACGGTAGTTTTTGGTGCATGACGATAAAATGTACATATTCTTTATGACGATAAAACAATCGACTGAATTAGAGGAATCATGTTAAATTTCTTTCCAAAAATAACGGTAACGGTTGTCTTAATTATTTGAGACCTGTGACGAATCACGATAGGGATATTTTGATGAATCACGATAAAATTTTAACCAATTTGACACTAATGGTAGCTAAAAATGACCATTTGACGCCTGACGGTAAAGGGCATTCCTATCCTCTTCTATGTTTACCATGAATTTGTGGTTAATCAACTTGAAACTAAATACACGTGTAAATTATAATTTGAAATATCATATTTGTAAAGAAAATTCTATTAAAAATTACTCTTGCTGATATAAAGTTAATCAGAGTGAAAAAGGGTGAATACTAAGGTGATTTTAAAGTATACACATTCTGAATTATGACTCTGTGAAAAAACTGAATATCCCTGTGTGTACTTTTTTTCTGAATTCAAATATGAAATGTAGTTATGATATTCTTATTTTTTAGATCTTTATGGGTCAGACATTAAGCAAGCATCAATATTAGACATGATGAATTCTGCCGTAGAAGATATCAGAGGAGCTTACGTTAGAATGATTTATCAGAACTATGTAAGAATACACTATTTTATTGTCAAATGATATACAAGCAGCATACGCTATACAGTGTTCCAGCTAGGATTTGAAAATAGAGGGGCGCGTTTTTAAAAAAGGGCACTTTAGCACGTTCTCACTGAAAAAATCAAATACTTAATATTACCACATAATGACATATTTTTAGCAAGCATGTAGCTAAGTTAAATACTCTTTACTATTATATACAAGTTTAAAAATCATTTATTTAGAACATATAAGTTAAAATAAAACTGAGAGCACTAATAGTCATTACTATATTCATTTCTCTTTCAGAACTACAGTCCAGATTTTTTCAAAGAAGAGTTCAAATGCAAATAAATATTAAACAACATTGACAAGTCTTCTGTTTTTCTTTTTGAAGAAGGTTGTCACACATTGGTCAAGAATTTTTTCAAATTTAGTTTCATCACAGTTTAATTTTACAGTTAATATTTTTGTTAATGTCTGTGTTTTCAAGTTTGCCCTGTGACTTGTCTTTATCAATTTGACAATACAAAGTAATCCATTTTACTATCGGAAATGAGTATAGTTCCTGATATACATTTAAATCTGTCCCATTTTATAAGGAAGATTGATTGATTGTTTAATGGTACACCATGGCCATGACATACATGATCATACATTTATGAGAGTCTGGATGGAGGAAGGGGTCTACATTTTTTTTTATTCTATAATGTTTTGGGCCATTTATCTGTATAAAAATTTATTTACCCCATCATTTGATATCTTTTATATATTAGCACTCCATTTTTCTCTATTTGGCTTATTTTTCTCTATTCATTTTTATGGCTATTTTTAATTTTTTGGTCTATTTTTCTCTATTCATTTTTATGGCTTTTTTTAATTTTTTGGTCTATTTTTCTCTATTTTTTTTTTTTACCATTTTTCTCTATTATTTTTTTTTTTTTTACCATTTTTCTCTATTTTTTATTTTCTGGCCTATTCTTCTCTTTCTTTATTTTTTTGGCATGTTTTCCTGTAGTCGGCCCATTATTCTCTATTCAGACCCAAATTTATAGGGTATGTAAAGGTGGTAGATGTAGCCTTATCAATAAAATGAGAGGGGGTGTACACATCTTCACTGCCTAAAATGGGGAAAGTACATGAGAAATACAACACTTTTGTAAAATAATGGGATAAAAGTAAAAAACTGGATCGATATAAACCAAACCAATTTCCTAGATTAAAAAAAATTTGATTTGACATGAAGTGATGGAGTTGAATGCAAAATAGTGATATGAAAACAGACAAAATTGATCAAAGAACAGTCGGACATTTGTTCAGAGGAACTCCCAATAATTCCTCTGAATGAAAATCTTTCCAACCAAACAATTATTGATTCATTGTAGCTGTGTGGTTCTAGAGTGCAGTATATTATTTTTGCGTGATATATATAAATGTATATTGTAGGACGAAGGAAAAGAGCCATTCATTAAAGAACTTCCTGAAAAATTGCAACCATTTGAGGTATGTGCTTTCGATACATGTAACTTACACTCAAGGTGATTCAGTTAACGCCCCTTTTGCTGGTGACGTGTGAATCACTGTAAAACAGGTGAAAATACAGGAAGATATTGGAGAGTTAATCTCTAAGATTCACCATGATAATTCACCAGTTCACCATGGAAAGGGATTTTTAACAGAATTACCATGCACGAACTGAAACTGACAAACTTACATAAACAAAATGATATATCTGAATGCCTGCATTTACTCTATGTATGTGATTTGAGTTTGACCAGATTTTTTATTTGCATAAGATTTTATTGGACTGAAAATTGGGGATTTAAGAGATTTTCTAAATACATGTATTTCTGTCATTAAGCATGTTATAATAAGCTATTTCCTGAACCAAACTACATTTTATAAAAAAAATCATCATTATTTGGTAATCAGTCAATACATGTGCATTTTTTCTAATTTTCAAAGTCTGCAATCATTTAAGAAGTAAAATAACAAAAATACCGAACTCCAGGGAAAATTCAAATCAGAAAGTCCCTCATTTAATGGCCAAATCAAAAGCTAACATACATCAAACAAATGGAAAACAACTGTCAAATTCCTGACTTGTTACAGGCATTTCCGCATGTAGAAAAAGGTGGATTAAACCTGGTTTTATAGCTAGCTAAACCTCTCACTCGTATGACATTCAAAATTGAAATAAGAAACTGAAGTCAAAATTAAGGTGTCATGGCTGCTCAAATATTAATAATTTAAAAAAATCTAACCCTAAATAATTAGTTCTATTTTTGACAGAGTTAACATTCATCAGTTAATACAAAAATTGAGACATGAAATCTGTTTAATCTCCTAAAGAAATTTTATAAAAATATTTTCCAAAGTTTTCTGATGTTTTTCATAATCATGATGTTTGCATTGCAGAGAACATTTTGGTCTTTTTAAACAAGCATATGGTTATTTGTGGTCCTAGTTCCTTAAAGACAAATCCCTCTTTTGTATATATGTGCACATACAAGCACAGCAGTTTTATGGCGTTGTGGTTTCCACGAACTGGAAACATTTATGAGAGTAATTCCTCTTTGATCCGATGAAGGCTAATGAATTTTTAGCAAAGGTCGATTTGCTGAGAAGAAAATGAAATTGTCCTCAGATTATTGACCAGTTCCTTTATTGAAAAAAAGTTTTGTTTGTTTGTTTTCAATTTCAAGGAACAACATAACAAAGGCTAAACTATTTAGGAAACATGAAAATATGCATATAAAAAAGAAGTAAACAACGAAAAAATTGAAACAAAAGCAAGTAATTTACATAAAAGCAAACAAACAAATACCATATGCAGTGTTCTCCCCAGATATTTCATTTAGCATCCTGGTAAACAGGGAAAGTAAATATATTACCATCTTGTTTCTAAAAATTATAACATCACATCCATAACATAATCTATATAAAACCACTTCAGATAGCATCACATTCAAGAAATATACCATCACATTACCATGATGCTAAAAGGCCCTGGGGAGAACACTACATATGGGAGGTGGTTATGGTCTATGTTGATGGACTAGGGCTTCCTTTGTATATAAATAAAAGGAGATTAGTGGTATATGTCAATTATACAGCAATCCTACAAAAAAAAGACTGTCAAGAAACAAAACCTAAACTGAAAATTCGTCAGCAAGATGGGTCGGTCACTCAAATTATGATTTAATAATTATTTCCTTTACTTTATACTTGTATGCAATTTATTCTAATCTGAAGTGTAAATTGTTATAGCATGCCTTTAATTAACTTTTCTCCACAAATAGTTAAGAAAAAATAAATCTTCAATCCTGTGATCTAAGTTCAAGGTATCGATAACAGTCGGTATGTATGGATATTGAAAATTGCACTGAAGTATTTTGATGTGTATGGGGTCTCTACACACACATAATTATAATACACCTTATCGCTATTTGTCTGCAATTACTGGACATCACAAAAGTTCCCGTATTATTTTGACGTCATAATAGAAAATATCTGACGCAACAATGGAAAAGTGATTGTTGTATGACGTCAATAGTTCAAGAGGCGCAGATTTCCAAATAGCGATAAGGTCTATAGACTATAGAGTGCGGATTAACGCTAACAATATAGTTACCTAACTACGCATACATCTAACATGAAGTACATCAATATAATAACCATATTGTCATATAAAACTGTGTGTGTGTGTTCTTTTATTAACCATTTTGTTCCGATTTGCTGAGTTTAAATGCTAAGCCTAATGAAATTGCACATCAGAATTTTCAGGTACCAGGTGCACAATATGTGCATATAAAACATAAACATGTCTTTGTTCAGTAGTTAAAAAAAAAGAACTATGGAGTAATGCATTTCAATAAAAAAAATCATTTCCCAAGAGCAAATATTGAAGAAAAGATGTCAGATCAGGTTCCATGAAATTTATTTCAAGCTAGAGTCATTTAAAAACAATCACCATATAACAGCTGAATGTATGTGTACTAATAAGACTGAGAATCTAGCAACATTGCTTCGTATTTCTACACATGTAATAAAATTATAAATGCCTACAGATGACCTTAAACGAAAATTATGTAAGAATTTGGTTAGTTTTAAGTAATTATCGTCAAAATGAAAAGGTAGGACATTCTAAATCAAAAATTGAAATTAATTCAAAGCTGTGTCTTGTCTTTCAGATATACTAACTTAACTTTATTTTCTTTGATGCAAAATTCTAGGAAAACATGTCACTAACTCATAATTTTGGCCCTAAAAATCTAAGATTTTTCCACCATGAAAATGTGGTGAAAATTTGATGAAAACATATGCTAAAATGTCCAATAGTTTCGCAGCAAAATTTTTTTTTCAACAAATGTGTCATTAGTGACGTATTTGTGACGTCATAATGTAGATGAATTTCATAAAATCTTGATTTTTTGCAGAATTTTGCAAAAATTATGACAGTTTTCTGAAAAATTAACAGAGCGCCACCCTTTGCCCACAAATATTTTTGCTGAAATATTCTTTATATACCATATTCTTTACTTTTTAACAAAAATTTCAATGGGCGAGGGCTGGCGCCACATAAAAGATCATGAAATAAGTGAAAAAAGTTTAAAATTTCTAAGAAAATGGATGAAAATGAAATCTTTTGATTTTAGGCTAATATCTGTATAACTATGAAGCAGATATTCTTCTTTTTCTGATTGTACTTTCAAATATCATACATTTAGCAATACATATAATAGTTGTCGTCTGTTTATGTAGTTCATACGAAGTTTTGATCCATCGACAAACATGTCCGCCATGCCTAAAAATAGAACATAGGGGTCAAATGCAGTTTTTGGCTTATATCTCAAAAACTAAAGCTTTTAGAGCAAATCTGACATGGTGTAAAATTGTTCAATTGGTCAAGATCTATCAGCTCTGAAATTTTCAGACGAATCGAACAACCCATTGTTGGGTTCCTGCCACCGAATTGGTAGTTTTAACAAAATTTTGCAGTTTTTTGTTATTATTTTGAATATTATTATAGATATATATAAACTGTAAGCAGCAATAATGTTCAGCAAAGTAAGATCTACAAAAAAGTTAATATGACCATAATTGTCAATTGACCCCTTAAGGAGTTATTGCCCTTTAAAGACAATTTTACACAATTTGTTCATCAAGTTTGCTAACATTTAAAAATCTTCTCCTCTGAAACCACTGGGCCAATTACCTTCAAACTTTAACTAAATGTTCCTTAGGGTATCTTGTTTATAAATTGTATCTGAAGTTTGTATCCATCGACAAACATGGCCGCCATGGCTAAAAATAGAACATAAGGGTCAAATGCAGTTTTTGGCTTATATCTCAAAAACTAAATCATTTAGAGCAAATGTGACAGGGGTAAAATTGTTTAATTGGTCAAGATCTATCGGCCCTGAAATTATCAGACGAATCGAACAACCTATTGTTGGGTTGCTGCCACCGAATTGGTAGTTTTAACAAAATTTTGCAGTTTTTTGTTATTATTTTGAATATTATTATAGATATATATAAACTGTAAGCAGCAATAATGTTCAGCAAAGTAAGATCTACAAAAAAGTTAATATGACCAAAATTGTCAATTGACCCCTTAAGGAGTTATTGCCCTTTAAAGACAATTTTGCACAATTTGTTCATCAAGTTTGCTAACATTTAAAAATCTTCTCTGAAATACAGGTGAGCGATTCAGGCTCTTGAGAGCCTCTTGTTATATAGATTAGACCATTGGTTTTCCTGTTTGAATGGTTTTACACTAGTAATTTTTGGGGCCCTTTATAGCTTGCTGTTCGGTGTGAGCCAATGCTCCGTGTTGAAGGCCGTACCTTGACCTATATTGGTTTACTTTAATAAATTGTTACTTGGATGGAGAGTTGTCTCATTGGCACTCATACCACATCTTCCTATATCTGTATACATTAGAATGACTTTGATAATTAAAGTTTTAAAAAAACACCTTTACAGGGCCATTTATTGGGATTCCTGGCTGAGACTACTCCTTTGCAATATTGAACACACTCATAACATATTTGGAAGAATTATATTCCAATAGTATATTTGTAATTTGCCTGGCACATTTTAAAGAAAAAGCTTGCAAAATTGTTCTGCAGAGGAATTGAAAGTAAAAAAAATTTGTTTTTCGATACAATATATAATATTAACTATAGCCCATTTTACAATTCAACAACTCCGCAAAGTCTTAACTTTGGAGATTCTGAATTGAATTGTCATTGTCAATAACCTGTGAGAACATCTCCAACTCAGCCTAACGTGTATTCCTGCCAATTCAAATGTTTAACCTCTATTCAAAAATATCTATTGAATTTTCATTGAGGAAACATTGGTCAATATTTTTTTAAACATTTTTATACGACCACAACAAATTTTTGCGGTCGTATATTGCTATCATGTCGGCATCGTCAGCGCCTGAAGACATTTGGCTTCCGGACAATAACTTTAGTTTAAGTGTATGGATTTCTATGAAATGTAACCAAAAAGTTCAATACCACAAAAGGAAGGTTGGGATTGTTTTTGGGGGTGATGGTCCCAACTGTTTAGGAATTAGGGACCCAAAAAGGGGCCCAAAACAAGCATTTTTCTAGTTTCAGGACAATAACTTGTGTATAAGTATTTTGATTGCTCTGAAATTGTATCACAAGGTTCAATACCACAAGTAGAAGGTTGGGATTCATTTTGGGGGTAATTGCCCAAACTGTTCAGGAATTAGGGGCCAAAAAGGGTCTAAAAATAAGCATTTTTCTAGTTTTCAGACAATAACTTGTGTTTAAGTGTATGGATGTCTCTTAAGTCATACCACATTTTACAAAAAGAAAATTTCTGCAATTATTATTTGTTTTGGAGGTGCAGAGGGGGGGGGGGGGGGGTAAAAAACATTTTTACAGTTTATTTTGCTTATTCTCTGTATATAGTCTGAAAACAGATTTACTAAGTATTGCACAACAGCACAATGTATTGCGCAACAGCACAGTGTATTGCACAACAGCAAGAAAACTTCAATTGAATATAAATTCAAATTATATAACCAATTTCAAGTTCTGTGACTACATTTATTCTGTGTCAGAAACCTATAATGTGTCAAATATTTAATTATAATACAAATTCAGACCTGTATCAAGCTTGAATATTGTGTCTATTTTGGCCCCAACTGTTCAGGGTTGGACCTCTGGGGTCATATCCAGCTGCGCTGGGAGAAGCAGTTTATTTATAGATATTTCTACATAAAAAGGGCAGGAAAATTATTATAGCAACTCATCGTTATAATTTGTGCCTCAGATGATGTTAATATTAATAATATAATTTCTACTAACAACGATGTGGACAAAACAAACAAATTTTATGCGATACAGACTTTGGATAAAATATTACACTGCTAAAAAAAGTCCTAATTTCCATATTTCATGAAAAAGATGGCGTTTTAAATTGAAAATGATGTTGGTGACCCCATTTTTTTATTGGCTAATTTTGAAGCTTTTACCTAGCCTAAACTGAAAACAAACATTTAAAAAAGATATTGGTAGATTTGAAATCAAAGTACTGAAGTACTGAACATCGGATGACCGCAGGTTCTTGTGGATGGTCAAAAGCACATGTCACAGAAACAGATCACATCTCTATACCTGAAACTGAGGTTAATTTACAGAGATTTTTTTTTCTTATACAAGTTCGTGCTTGGATGATGAATAAATGACAGGAAATTCAACCTCACCGTAATAACTATTATATTGTAGTGATACAAATCAGTATACCTTAGACTATTATACTAATATAATAATAGTTCCAGAGAATACACTGGTTTGTTGTTATATATTATATTAATATTACGGTTGCATGTATATATAATTTTCATCTATTTGTATATCATACTATTCTACTATTATTATAGTGTAATGCAAGTGCATGGTGGACACTCTTTTGTAAAAAAAAATCAAAGTCTTAAAGGCTGTAAAAGCAATTGCTGCCATGTTAATGTTTTGTGGACTTTTATTTTTCATCCATATATATATAAGAATTAAACCTGACAGGACAGGAGTGTTGACTAGTGAGAAGCAAGACGGTTTTAACTTTATATCAATATAAGACTTTAGCAGGAAATCATTTTAAATATGTTTTATATTTTACAAGGAGACAACAAGTTTACCAGGCTAAAGTTGGGGTTAATTATGCATGTGCTGAAACATATAACTGAAAAAAAAATCATTATGGATTATCCCCTGGTAGTGTTTGTAACTGGGCAATAATTTCCTTTATTGATTTAATTTTAACCATTTTCATAATTAATTTAAATTAACCATTCAGTTAAAACATTTCAACTTACCAGACGCAAATGTTGAAAAACGGGACAGAAATAAAATATCTTACAAGACATAAACATGTAAAAAATAAATATATATTTCAGCTTACTAAAAATATTTTCATAATGTTACTTTGACATCATTTCTTAAAACTAAGTCCCAAACATAATTGCTCAGTTGACATGTGTCATCCTCATGCGATACGAGATAACTATAATTCTGATGCAATCCCGAAAAGGGGGGTCATCACAAACAAACATGACATTAAATTGTCATTATACGAACTAGAACAAGCAGCTCTATGTTGCTTTGATATTTATCAATTTTCAGGAAACATGTGAAATAAATTTCAGGTCCATTTCATTATAGTGCCTAACAAGATTGTGTGAGGTAGACGAAATTGACCTTAAAACGATCGTATTGTCTTTTGATGTCCAAAAATAGGCAGATCGGACATATAAGGACTTTATCTAATGACTACATAAATTTGGGATTTATTATTATTATAATATTCTAATGAAACTGAAAATTGTATTTTTTTTTAGGATAAACAACAATTTTACCTGGCGTAGCCGTTCATAAATGTTTTTCTGCATTTATCTTCGAAAAATGGCGTATTTAATGGAATAGAACGTTAATACAGTAAACTTTCTCTTTTTTCTCCGCAATAGGCTATCAAAAATAATTTATCTAATGTGTATGTGGAAAATTATGTGAAAAAATAAAAAGTGGCAATTGTTACCTTTCATACCTTAAGTTTCGTTCATCTGATTCTGACCAATGCTTATATACTAAATATCTATTTATATGCCGCTATTATTGTTGTTGTTACCAATTATGTAAATCAATTGTATCTGATTTTATGCCCTTTATGGGCCCTGTAATTTGTGAAATAAAAAAAAAATCTATTCATTGATAAAACGTAATATGGACTGGTCCAGTGTCCAGTTTGCAGGTCATTTAATTTTCTGTACACATTCATGCACGCTCTGATTTAATCAATATACTCGTACGAAAAAGCATGAACAGTTTGAAGGTAATCTAATAATAACTTAATCCAATCAAATTGCATAAGATTCAATAACAATGTCAAGTCCACATCATAATGAGTAATAGAGGTAAACTGGGTAGGGAGAAAATGACAGATATTTCAAGTTAATATTTATGCAATAACGAATTAAAATTTGTCAACCAAAAGTTTTGCTACAATTTCAAAAACATGTCGTTCTGTATGGGTATAGTTTTCGGATCTTTCATTAGTGTATTTAAGGCTATAAAAAGTTTGGGCTTCAAAAGTTCACACAATTATTGACTTTATACAGAAAATTCGTCCTTGTAAAACATTTAATAGTTCACAAATGATACGCGATTTTAAAGTAAAATTATTTCTTAAAACACTGCAATAAATTTCATTCATATTGATAAAGTGGTATCGTCATAAAGTGCGTCGAAATGAACAGTGGTATAGCAAACATCGAATTCCCTCACAGAATGTTATCACACACTACAGTAAGGGGAGTCAGTTAAGTTTGTCTATTTTTAGATACTATACAGGTAATTTTTTGACACTACGTATACAACCTGTGTGACCTGTGTAGTGATTTTGATTTTACGATAAATTCATGAATGAACGATAATTTTATGAATGAACATGAGCACCTGACCTCTTTCTTAAACACCTATTAAACATATAAAACCGTATTTAATAAGTAGATAATTCAGTCAAATTTTCAGTACTAAATCAACAACTGAAATGATTCCATTTTTTGATGAAACATCGTACGAACGGAGAACAGAATCCCAGGTATAAAAATGCACTTTTTTTCCCTTGTAATGACCGCGGATCTATAATTTTTATAGATCGGTTGAAATCCCAAAACTAATTTGCATAATGGAAATTTAGGCGATAGCAATACATCGGAGTGACCTCAAGGTCATCCTCTGTAAAAATGGATTTGTTCTTAACTAGCTCCCTTTTCCTGTTGATAAACTTTGCATATCCCTCCTACTCATTTTCTTGTTATGAATATGCATGAAATATTTGTCACTGGACATTAAGTAATCTATTTCTCAATCAGAAAATCAAATATACTTACTTAATTCAACAGGTATTTTGTTTTAATTTAGCATACATGAATTATGATATACCCTGTCTGCACCCGGGCATAGGTGATGGATGGCATTGAAAATTTGTTGGTCTTTGATTCATTAATTATTATTTGTATTAATTTCTTTATAGAACCTGCTGAAACCAACCAAGGGTTACATTCTTGGAGAAAAGGTATATATAAATACACTCTCATTAAGAAAGTTTTCAGAGTTTATTATGTTTACATGTATGTGTTTACAAAGAAGATTCCCATAGCAGATCATGTAACTTTCAAGTCAATTAAGAGGGCATATTTAAAGAAGAACCCTTAACAATTAACTTATGTGTACCGAATAGTTAGTCAAATAACAAATTAAATGTCTGTACACTTTATTCATGTGAATCACTTTTCTTGAAATGAAAATAACACTTAATAGATTTCATGCCTCACATCTGAGGAGCTTTCTGGATTTACCTTCATCAGGAACAGTCAAATCCAAACATTTGAAAGCCGGGAATGTATTTAAGGAATGACTGTAATATTTTTTCTGTCTATGAAGAAATAACATCAAAAATGTGGTGCACACTGAATAATCCGCGTAGCGGGTTATTTTAAAGTGTGCACCACATTTTTTATGTTATTTCTAATAGACAGAAAAAATATTACAGTCATTTCTTATAATTTAATTCTAAATTCCATTTTAAACCGGAGTAAACCATGAAAAAACGTTGATGACGTCATGGTCACATGACAAAATTATGTCTATGAGCTGATAAACAAAACGTCAGCCAATCAGAAGACGCGTTACATCCAAAATTAAATTATAAATACGTAGAAATGTTAGGAGCTATATTACCAAAAGAGACCTATAAAGAACAACCAAATTCAGCTAAGCTCAACTAAAATTGCATGATTGTTATATGAACTGATACTTAGGTTAGGACTTTCTTATTTTCAGATATCCTGGGTAGATTACAATTTATTTCATCTGTTAGATACACTTACAATTCTCTCACCTGGATGTGGACTGATACTTAAGTCATGACTTTTGTTATTTTCAGATATCCTGGGTAGATTACAATTTATTTGATCTGTTGGACATACTTACCATTCTGTCACCTGGATGTCTAGATGCTTTCCCAACTGTCAAAGCTTTCTATGAGCGTGTGTTGGCAAGACCAGGAGTCCAGAAAAGAAGACAAACAGATCACTTCAAGAATATGCCTGTCAATGGCAATGGGAAACAATAAATCTCTATAGAGGGAGTTATAAACATTCCACTTGCTTGGGAAAACAGGGGTTGTAGCTTTGTAAATGGCAGAATTTCTTGTATGCTTTGTAGATGGCGAGAACAATTAGCAATCTATTATAAATGATTGATGAATGCAATCATGTAAAGGAGAAAAAATTTAAAAATGATTAATTTTCTGTGCATACATGGACATATTCAATATTTCCGAGAAAAGTGCATTATTTTTATTCAGTTGTCTGCACAGGGCATGCCTGCTTAATATTTCCCAAATTACATATTTTTTTATCAGAGGATGTACATGCAGTCATGCTAGTATTCAAACTTTCTTTATATGCATGGGAGACTTTAATTTTTTATGATAAAAATGAACTAGGAAACTTTACTGTAATATACTCCACTAACAGAACAAAGAGATTTAATTTAACTGTATTTATAGTGAGATGTGCAGTATTGTTCAGAACATCAGCATTAAAGTTTTGAGATATCTGGATTTTTACTTTTTTTTAATACCTTTGTTTATATTTTTATGCCCCACCTAGGGGCATTATGTTTTTTGGTCTGTGTGTCCTATCGTTTGTCTGTCCGTTCGTCAGTCTGTCCTGCTTCAGGTTAAAGTTTTTGGTCAAGGTAGCTTTTGATGAAGTTGAAATCCAATCAACTTGAAACTTAGTACACATGTTCCCTATGATATGATCTTTCTAATTTAAATGCCATATTAGAGTTTTGACCCAAATTTCATGGTCCACTGAACATAGAAAATGATAGTGTGAGTGGGGCATCCGTGTACTATGGACACATTCTTGTATGAATTAGAGATTATAATCTCCAATGATTATTTGGTGTGAACTTTTACACTAGGAGAAAATAGTTTATCTTTGCTTTATATAGTCCCTGCCATAGATGATAATGATGGATTGGTGTTTAATGTCCAGTTGCAAATATTAGAAGAAAAATGCATACCAGGACAAAGACTGTGAACCCTGCTTTTGTACTAGACCGACACTCTGAGCCAGATTTTAACGTGACAGTTCAAATGATAAGGATCAGCAGGAAGTCATGTCACCCTAGTCAGACACATACTCTCTTAGCCAAGCAGTCTTTGCTCTTACATTAAATGATGCAGGTGTAGCAGAGAAGCAGCAAATATCAATTTTCAAGTCGTTGGTTTACCCTGCCCGAGATCAATCCCACAATCTCCTGCACTTGAACCAAGCTTGCTAATAAGAGTAGAGACCACAGAGGAACAATCATGTCATAGATCTTATAGTAAAGATTTTCTGAGCATGCCTATTAAATATATGGTGAGCATGTCAAGCTCAAGGAATATAGTATCAAACATTACTCATTGAGAGTATTATCCGTCTAGTAGTATGTGCTTCAGTCCTAGCATGATTTAAGGGACTGTAAAACAGAGGTGGAAGATACCAAGGGGACATTCAAAACTCATAAGAGGGGCGTAATTGGGGGTATCTGCACGGAAGAACGCGAAATAAAATTGCCATTTCACGATGAACGAACAATTAAAAATTTCTTGCGCGTTGATCTTTTTACCGATTTCACGAAACACGGTGAATAACGAACCTTTTTCACGGCTGCACGTGAAATAAAAATGGCAAAACACGTTGCACGAAAATAACCCTTTACCACCCACTCATAAGTCAAAGGTAAACTTACAAAGCCATAGCAAAAAAAGAAAAACCACTAAAAGACATACAAGTCTACAAAACACTACATAGAAAACTTAAGACTGAGCAAAAGATACCCAGCCAAAAACTGGGGGTCAAACTCAAGTGCTCCGGAAGGGTTAGCAGTTCCTGCACCACATGTAACACCCATTGTGTTGATCATGATGTGCAAGTACAAATCTGGTAATTAATTAGTCTCGTTCAGTGGTGTCACAATCGAGGAAAAGCGGACGAAAATGTGGTTTCGCATACACAAGAATTGCGGACAGCTCAGCTGGATGGCTTTATCAGCTACCACACAGAGAACCGTAATCATTGAAAATTTTTTAACGTTATTGTCTATGGGGAATTATGACCACTAGCTAAATAAACGAATACTATGTCTATTTTATAAATCTCATATAAAATTAATAAATTATAGAGATCTCACCAATTTTTTAGCTTTGAAATGGTGTAATAAAATCCACTTTATCTTGATATTTACTGTTGTCCCTATCATGTTGAACGTTGGGTTCTCTTTTGGTTGAGATATGTTAAATTACGAGGTATACATATTTTATAAAAAATCATATTAAATTCATTTTTTACTGTAAATCAAATTAACAAATTATACAGTATTGGCAAATAATTTTCCTATCAAATGGTATAAGAATCGTCATTTTAAAATAATTTTTACTGTTGTCCCTAAGCATTTGAAAGTGAAACTTCATTATTTATGAATACGATGTATATTCATTCAACTAAGATTGGCCGTATTCAAAGACAAATTGGTCTTGTTATTTAGTTGAATTCTCATTTTTATGATGTGAATTTCTTTTCTAAGTACATCCATCATTTTAAATATCTAGTTAGGTTTTAAACAATATATTAATTTCTATTATACCAAAGAGTTCTTTAAACATCTTGAAGAAAAATATGCAAAAAGTGTGTTTTTTTAAAGGCTCTGTCTAATTAATCTTATTTTGATTTGAGTAATTATATTATTATTTGAATACACAATTGCATGATTGTATTATTGAAAAAAAATGTCTACGAAATCTGAAAAAACTAAATTGAAATAGAAAAGATGACAACGTGCAATTTTTAATGCCATTCAAAACATACAAAATTTTATACAAGTTTTGTATAATGAAAAGGTATAGGGAATATTATTCTTATCATTATAAGAAATGATCAAAGAAGTAAATGCAAGTATTTTGAATGTATACAGTAAGATATCATAGCATCAAAATCATTGTTAGGATATGCTATCTTTATGTTCTCCTTCATACATTAATCTTATTGTTTAGTACAAGGATTTGTATAGTACTATACAAATCCTTGTTTAATATATTCATAAAATGTCGTTTAATAATACAAATGACGAAAAACATCGAAGTCCTTTTTAAGAAAAGCTCCATAATTATCGATCTCAGCTAACATATAAACACGAATGTGTCAATATTTACATAGTATATTGTATAAGCGTCCCATGGTGCCACGGCAAATCCTTTCCGGTGCTGTATCACTATTCAATACCATATGTTACTATTTTATCTTATCATTTAAGTATTATATCGAAAATAAAGTAGTCCATGCACAAGAGCTTGTTGGGAGACCCCTTTTTTTTAATTTTTTGCAGTTAATTTATAATTTCAAAAAAGTCTTATCACATCAACTTTTTTTACCTTGTCTAAAGTGTTCAAACTCTTATCAATGCGATTTAACAATAATAATTTATGTATGTTGCCCTGTGTTCTTATGTTTAAGAGTATTCTACACATACGAATATAGGGTTAAACATATAAACTAATTTTATAAAGTCAAAAAAAAAATTGAGATACGGCTGAAATATGAACGAATATTTTCAAATAAGATTAATTACAACAAAAAAATAATTATAAAATTAACTAGACAAAGTGATGCCCCGCACTTCACTCTGAAGTAACTGGATCATAACAAAGATAATGTAGAACTTTATCTGAGATTTAATTGTGTCTTGGAGACACAAATGATGCCCCCGCAGATGCAAAGTGTTATTTTAAAATAACTTCAACTATCTCCCAAAAGAGCAAATATTAAACCCTGACTACATGCACACCTTCAATATATGTACAAACCACTAAACTTTAAGGAGAAAGTCTGCGGTTTTATTTACTGATATCTATGTCTAATTAAGGGTAGTGAATTATGTAAATTTTATGTTCCTAGAGGACAGGGCCCGTATGCATAAAACATCTTAACTTAAGTGTTCCTTAAACTTATATTTCACTAAGAATTCCCTTAGTTAAGTAATATTCTTAAGTCGTATGCATAAAATTACTTAAGTCTTCACTTAACTAAGGAATACTTAAATCGGAACCTTTCTCTAATTACCGTATGATATATGTTAGCTCGTCGCATGTACTCATCCGTGTAAAAGTTTGTTTTGATTATTTACATTGATTGAACAATACATAACTGTATAAAGAACTGGGGTTAAATTGGTGTTGGTGTGTAAAACAATTATCAAATACGTAACCAACTAAAATAACCAAACAAATTGGCGCATAAGAGAAAAGGTTGTTTTGGTGGGCGAGCGTGGGAAGAAAAAAATATTTATAATGCAAAACTTCCCCCTACTGTTACTAAAAGAGAGATGAAAGGGGATTGGAAGGAAATTGATTGATTTATCGATGTTCGCTGAAAGTCCAGTGGCAAACATGTCATACATGTTCAGGACGAGAACAAATTAACAATTATAGATAAAATAAGTGGATCTTGTAATAGACGCTTTCCGAGATGAAAGTCAAGAAAATTTGGACTACCACTGGAAAATGTAGGCATATTGGATAGGGATAGAATTCTCCTTTGCAACGGTTCACTTACGGACCCCAAAGATTCGTTGTAGGTGTGAGAGTGTGGCACTCTCTCTACACGAGGCATAGGATTTAACTCCCTATTCTGACCGGACGTGGTTGCGTACTTGTACATCCCGCAGAGCCAAACGAACGTCACGTTTTGGCAAGAGTTTTACTGATTGTCGGAAATATATCAAATACCGTATTTCTGGTCGCCACTCACCCTTAGGGCTGGAAAAAAAATAATAAATATATATCAATATTATAAGTAGAAAAAAATCCCTCAGGAGAGATTCATGAGAGATCCAAAAGAAGTGGGACAACTTATGCATGGCGTGATAAATGTAAAATATCAAAAGATTCCGAGTCATCCACTTGCAATTCATTCTGTTTAGCAATCAAAACTTCAATCACCTGAGGAGTCGCTGAATGAAAACTCAACATTATCTTGTATCAAACCATCCAGCCTAATAATGGTATATGCTAGTAAAATCTAAATTACAAAATAAATCCACGTCATGATATTTATAAAAAATTGAGCAATTATCCAAAACTGGCGAGAAGGACCTTCTTATTATTTTATTGGAAGTTATAACATAAATTTCTTTCAGATACACCATAATTTATTTAAGTTAAAGTCTTCCTTCTATGCAAACTTTGCAATATTTTTGTTAACAGCAATATATATCAATGAATACGTATAAGGAAATACAAAAAATTATTGAATACGGGTTAAGTATCATGAATATATTATAAACATAATTTTTTTGGTCTTTTGGAAAATGTTGTTTGTGCTGTATTTAGACCCCTCTACCAAGAAATTTGTTTTGCATGCACACGTATAAAAATTGCGGTTTTTATCCAACGCAATCATAGGTTTGAACGTTGTTTTCAGTTTAGACTTATATATACATAATTTATATAGACTTCGAATTCCACGGAGTAGGTCTTAAAAACGTTTTGATTTTGTCCCAGTTAGTGAAACAAATTCAGGGGACATTTTCCTAATATATGTAGAAATGAACAATAAAATTGAAAATTAAACCGATGCCCCCCCCCCTCCCAGAAAACAGGATTTTGCATGCCTATAGATCCTCATCGCTTCCTTCCTTCATACAGTTTTGTTCTAATAGTATACCAGGCGGTGTATTTCATAATACTTGCGTAAGCAGCCACGAACAAATCAAAAGAAATATAATTGCATGAATTCCATGCGTGTAAAATCTGTGAGTACTTTTCGGAATACACACTAACGAGATTGAGAAATAAGGGTAGAATGAAATAATAAAACTACCCTCTGTTATCTCTTGAGTTTGTTGATTATAGGTGATTTTACGAAAATTACAACGATCGTTAATATTTAGCAATAAACAAACGAAAGATTCATGACTGAATATAGTTATTATTCAATTAAATTGGAGCTAATCTATCCATGTTCTGCGAAAAAAAAACATACATTCGACTGATTTTATATATTTTAGAAAAGTTAAGGTAGCTCTATATGTACCTTATACTTAAGTATAATCTTAGGCGTTTTCTTAGTTTAAGGGGTTTTATGCATACCACTTAAGTTTTGTGGGCGTGACTTAAACCAACTAAGATTTTACTAAGGAAATACTTAGTTTTAAGATTTTTTATGCATACTACTTAGGTAAAAAGGGCGGAGTTTCCTTAACTTAAGTGTTTACTAAGGAAAATCTTAACTTAAGTAGCTTTATGCATACGGGCCCAGGAAAATATTACAATATTTTTCTACAGGTGTTCATGATTTTACGTGTTACCTAGATCAAATAAAATTCAGCATGGAGTATACATCTGGCTTATACAATGTCAGTATCGAATACATGTGACCTACCCATATCAAATAAAATCTAAAATTAACAGTAATGTACATCTTGTCATATTTATGATATTGCCTTTCTGTAGCTTTTATTTATATGTTTTATGAGATTTCAACCCTCCCTCTATAACTCTAGCCTATGTAGAATAAACAAAACACAGCAATACGCACAGTAAAACTCATTTTAAAAGAAGTCCGAGTCCGATGTCAGAATAGATAACAAAAGACACTGAGCAAAATGACAATGATACATGATAAATTAACTAAAGGACTACTAGCAATAAGTGACATGCCAGCTCCACACTTCAATTAAACTGATTGAAAGATTATGTCTTCGTCATATTCATAAATTGTCTATCCTTTTCCAGAATCACGTTGAAGAGTTAAATGCTATTTTTTTTATATATTAAAACATAATCTAGATAATACTCAAGCCTGCTTGATGTTGAAAGGATTTGTATATTGGATTTTCATCTAACTCAATTAAAAAGAAATATACAAGGATAGATCAGTTTGCCTGCGGCTTTAAAATGTTTCTTTTATTGAACTTGTTAAAATCAGAAACACCGATGATAAATTATTTGGACTATCTTAAAGCTTCCGAAAAGGTCGTGTGTAGTATAAACAGGGTTACAAATTTCATACAATAAGACAATTTACTAGATCAAGAGATATACATATATCATAAATATAGGAAATATAATAACATGTAAACGTATCTCTTTTGAACCATCGTTAACAGAAAATATTCTTTCTACATCATAGGGCATGCAAAACTTTTCTTTTTTTAATTATTTCTTTTCTATCGGCAATTTCTTCATCATTCATCTGTTTATAGTGTACGCGGGGTTTCTTTCTTAAATCCAACTGCGTTCGGAATTATCGTATAACTGCTAATATCATAAATTACCCTATAGGCATAACGTTAGCCTGGCATCCCGGCCCGATCTAGCTGCGCGTCGAGATTAGCCAGGACCCCAGGCTAGCATAACGTTAAAGTGACATCTATTGGTGGGGTGTTCGTTTAGGGGAGTTATCTATTCTTATCTACTGGTCACCAGACGATGAGAACAAGATGGGAACCAGAATAGAAAAGTAACACGAGTTATCTCGCCTTGAAATGTCCGTAGTTCTTGTACATGAGAGTTGGAACATATCCACGGTCACCTGTGACACGGATATTCCATAATAGTCAATTTAATGATGTCTTCCGTAAAACTTTCGAACGGATGACTTTCACTTTACCACTTGGTACTCTTGGTTCAATGACTTCCTTGTAAGCCACAACCATCTATCAAAGAAGTTATGATAGGAAACGCAAGTTCTGGGAGATATGTACCCCATATGCAGGAGCTGGTAAAGACTACTAGTAACATTGACTTTGATTGATAACATCGATGTAAATTAATTGGAAAGACGTTTCGTGGAGCACTTGGTAGACCCAGCACTATATAAAGGTATAACGTTGCGTGTACGTAAAATTTGTAACTTTCCTGTTCATCTACAGCAACTTAAATAAATAAATGTTTATCAAGACTTAGTACTGGTATTTTCGAAACTATGACTCTGGAAATCCAAAAAAAAAAAAATAAATATAGAGTGCAGAAAATCTAAATAGGTCGGCAGTATAAAATGGCTACAAAAAAACTTAACTTACTATAAGGATCAGCATCCTAATTTTAACACTTAATATTTCTGAGTTCCAATAGGAGAGCAACACCTATGTGTAATTTTTAAAAAATTAACCCAACAGATCTTCTTCGGAAGTTTTCCAATCGTAGTAAGATTTCGCACACAAGACATTGCCGGCAGTTTTCGATTTTGAGATCTTAACATTCATTGATATTGAAATTTGAACTTTGGATGACAAATTTTGACCATTATGAAACCCTCTAGAAATGATATCTAAATATAATGCAATTAGCCGTAGTGGTTTTCGTTTGCATTTAATCTAGTATGATCAAATTTTTGATCAAAATATGAAAAGTTTTGCATTTGATCCTTATTAGGCATGTAAATGCCGAATTAAAAAAAGTTTTACGTGAAACATACATGTAAGTAACATGTAGCCATTTATGGCTCGAGGAATTCATTTAAGGTCGACCTTATTGTACTTTGATTAAAATGAGACAACATTGGACCTGGGAATATGATGTATTGCATATCTATTGGCACTCTAAATACTTCTATGAAGAAAAAACCCTTACTCCCCCCCCTAAAATCTTGAATAAAATATCGCTGTAAATCTCTAAGGAAAAGTTTTGCATTACCCTTACGAAAATCCTTACCCTCTCGAAAAACCTAACTAGGCATCAGAAATAAAACATGAAAGGGGTCCATTGTCATTATAAGGTTGAATTTTAGCATTTTCAACCAATCATACATTGAAACATTTAGTGTCAGTCATTGAATTTGTTTCTTTGCATGTTGTGGTGTAATTCCATTGGTATAGTATAATACACATATACAAATGCCTGTCCCTTAGTCCAAAATCTCCGCTATGGTTGTTATTATGTCATATTGATGGCTGTTCTTTGATAGTCTGTTTAATCAACACATAACCTTTTTAATTTTGGTAATTTGTGTTGTTCGGTTGCTGTCTAATTGATGTATAACCACATTTCCTTTTGTTCATATCTATACAAAGGGTAAACATTAACCATTGCTTTGCATAAATAAATGTTGTTTCAATCATCTGTTGCACCTTGTAACTAATACTATAGACAATTTGACAGAATTGCACCCGTTCTTCAAGTTGTTTGCGGAAATTTTCAGCTTAAAAAATTGCATTGGTTACTAAAACGCATAACGGAGACGATGATGCTCACTTTAAATGTGTATCTTTAAGTCTATGGCTCTAAATTGTCCCGAGTTTTAAAAGCTGTGAAATAATTTAGCGCAAACTATCCAAGTTCTGCAATCAACATGTACATACATATAAAAATATAGAAGATGTGGTATGATTGCCAATGAGACAACTCTCCATTAGAGACCAAACTGACGTAGAAGTTTACAGCTATAGGTCACCGTACGGTCTTCAACAATGAGCAAAACCCATTACGCATAGCAAGCTATCAAAGATCCCGAAATGACTAGTCATTGGATAAGTTCCAGCGAATCATTTCACAAAAAATCTTACGAGAAAAAGATAATTTTAAGTCATGAACATTTCATTTTGTGAAAAGAGCCCCCGACTTGGAATAAGCCCATCAACATGTGGCAGACTTAACTGTTTCCAACGCCTTTATCTCGATCATTGGAATAACAAAGAGTACCTTGAAGAACGTATAACCAAATTAGTTCGGGAATATACACTGAACACAATAAAAACGGTACGTATTTATCTTTCCTTATTTTATTTGCATGTTGTGTTGATCTTATTACAGACGCTTATACATAATATAGCAAACCATAATTCATATGGCATTCTAGATACTTGCATAATGCACGATAATCATGATACAAAGGATTTAATTATCACAATCCCAATTTTGATATTCATAATTGTATTTTGAGTTGTACACAGCAAAACCAGTTATATCCAGTTCTTTTCCAAGTTGATTATTGTTGTAGTCAGAACTCTTTGCTGCATTACTGACTGCTGTTTTCGTCCTGATTGCTACCCAAGCTTCTTTTACTTTTCCAATAACTTGTTTTGCAAGATAGACAGTCAACAACTGAAACACAGAATCCTGAAAGTAAACAAAAATTTACATTGATTATTTCATTTCTGAATGGTATATATATCTTCAATAAATTTATGCAAATTTCAAGTTTTTTTGGTCGTTTGTCAACACCGATTTTTAATAAATACTAGGCTGAAATCAAAGGAGCTATGTATTTTGTGGGAATTATTTGTTTTTCTCGTCGACAAATTATACATCAGGAAAAGAAAAAGTAACACGAAATATTTTATTTGCGTTATATGATTAAATATTGTTTTCTTAACGTTCAGTCGCAAATAGTACATGACTATTCAGTCCGAGAACAAATCAACAATAACTTCATTAATTTGTGTAACCGGAATGAAGGGCAGGCAATTTGTATTGTCAGTGAAAAAAGATGATATGAAAGTAAGGGGACATTTTGATTTGCAACAGCCTGAACAGGCAACTTACGAACTTCTTAAATAGTTGTTGCAAGGGTTCTTAAACGTACATAAAGCGTGATACCCTCCACAAACAAACGACATTGGATTTCTAAATTCTCGCACGACGTACGGGACTGTTTATTTATTAATCTTACATAACCAATGGAACGTTCGTATTCATCATGGGTTTTACTAACGGATATCCAGTGCCCCAGTCAACCCTTGAGTCTTGCGTTACGCATTTTGCACTGTAACAGCAAAAAATTTGATTTCTGCTATAAGCATCTTGAGTGGGTTCAAGTGCTGCAGTTTTCTTCTGTTTGTTCCACACAGGCACTTGTTTCTGTCAAGGGGGGTTTACTATCCACACTTCTACGAAAAATCACGTGATTTTTTCGTACAAGTGTGGATAGTAAACCCCCATTGACAAAAACAAGTGCCTGTGTTGTTCCAGTACAAAATGTTACAGAGAAAACTGTAGAAATCTCAGTAGAAATTTTATGTTGCAATTTAAAAGTAGATTTTGAAATGAATAAAACTAGATTTGAGGTATATATTAATAAGACAGAAACTAAACAATATAACTTATCAAAATATATTTTAAAAGATGTCAACACATGAGTCACGAACAATATACAAGAGTCTATACAATATAATATTAAATCATGGTGTTTTTAAGCTTTTTTGGGGGGAGGGATGCATATATGACCAGGTTATTTGTCGGATCGGTCATATAGTACATTTTCGGGGAAACTAGCTGTCTCTAATATAAAATCCAAGTCGCTGGAAAGCACATCCATCTATTTCCTTTTATATCTTGTTATATCATGTAACTTGTGAATGATTTAGATCGATAAGGAATCGAAATGATGAAACAAATCATGAAATATAAAAAAGATATAAAATCAATAATAATAACTTTTGAGCGAACAATTTTAGGTTCATACAGTCATAAGAACGTTTTAAAACTCAATCCTCGAACGCTACTGCAGCTCTTATTAGAAAACATTGAGTTCAGATAATTAAAGCATTGATTAAAAAGGTTATAGGTATAATCTCTAGTTATTTTCTTTTAAACTGTTACAGCCGAAATTTTGGCCTAAAAAATTAAAGAATACAGAACTAGAAGATCCCCCGTCCAGACCCTCTTATATATAAAATGTATATATGTCACTGATATATTTGATACAAAAAAATTATGAACTTACTGTTTCAAAGCCATAAAGTGAAAGACTCTTCTGCATTTTACTTATGTCAAGAGATTTTTCTAATTCGTCAAGACCACATGAAACGCTTTCATCAAGATTATCTCGTCTAAAACTTGCAAACGAAGTCTCTCGACTGTAACTGTATAAACCTCCAAACCATGTGACGCTAGTATCCAGATATTTTTGAAAATGAGACACGTTTGGTGTACTTGATTCATCTAAAGAACTGAATGGATCAAAATGGTTGTTTGATAAATTGGAATCATTTTGTTCCCCTGGGATACTCATTGAACTTGTATTGCTGATAAAACTTGAACTTGCACACGGTGGCCCTAATTCATTGCATTGGTTATCTTCATCTAGCATTAAATTATCGCCTGCCTTAGAGTTACTATATCCACCATCGTGGTACAGGTTTTCCACATCAGCATCATTATCTTTACCCAGCTGCAAACGTTGAATGTTGTCGTCCACGTGCTCAAGACCAAACGCGTCTGCATCACAAACAAGCTTTGGTCCATATTTCTGGATACTCTTATGTGGATGTTGCGTGCATTGCGGTCTAACACAAAGCAATGTGCTCATTACATTGTCTGGAACATCGTCAAGACCTCTTAAGTCAAACACGCGGAGGGATTTTGACGGTATTCCAGATCTTACTGATACAAGTCTACAGCTTTCTTCAGTTAAAACATTAAAACATCCATCTCCTGACGAATGATGCATCTTCTTTAAGACGATCATTCCTTGCTTTGAAAGTACATGTTTTTGTGGTTTCTTTATCTTTCTCAGTTTATCCATCCAATCGATATCTCTTGGTTGTTTTTGTGAGATGATTGACTTTTCGGTCACTGAGCTATACCCGATGTGTCTTCTGTTTTTATGCTTTTCAGGAGCATGTTGTCTCAGGCCTGTCGATACTGTAAGAAAAAAATCATTGTTGAATTTTAAAAATGAAATAACATTCGTATTCTTAAATTGTCCGCATAATTTTTTTCACCTTTTAACTTCAATATTTTGGTGTATAAGTGAGTGAATAAGTAAGTATTTTCTTTTGAAATAACAGCTAAGCATTGGTCTATCTTCAATTACATAATTAACATATACTATTTTCTTTCATAACCAACATAGTTAAGGTTATAAAAGTTTATGAATCACATCTCTGCTTAAATGGTACAGTATGTTTGAATTTTAGATGAAAGATAATTATTTGGTTTACATCTTTTCTATTTTCTTCCGCAGTCTTAACACCTGATCTTGTGGAACAACACACATGTCCCACGTGCAACCGTATTACGATAGGTCGGCTGTCAATGGTCGGTCACCTCGAGATCGTGGGCATTACCAAAAAAAATGTAAATAAGCACAACTTTCATGAAACTTTTAAATCCTAGGGTCGTAATTTTGCCAAAAATCGGTACTTTGGCACGAAACTCAATCTATATAACATGATTCACCATGAACAGAAAATCAATATCAGAACTACAAACATACCAAAAAAGTGCGGACAAATATCATTTTTGTTATTTTATAAGTTGAAGGTAACAGATACGTAAATGAGTGGTCTCACGAAAGTTTATGAAATTTTATATGCATCTAGAGCACGAGGAACTGCACATGAATATAGGAATATGATATGTTTGACTTTTATACTGTCTTAGATATAGCAAATTAAATATCCAGAAAATATCAATTCAAATGTATAAAAGACACGTAAATATCGTAAAAAAGTTCATCAATTTTGCATTTAAATCAATATTTCTCGAATTACTGTCCTACGAATTTTTCTTAAAAAATGATATATGTTATTGTTCCTGAAATTTCCTTTTCATTGATATAAAATTCATATGGGGTTACCGAATTCGTTTTTTTTGTTGAATCTGCTGTAAACTTAAAAAAAAACCCACCGAACAGGCAAACGTAGTCGTGACGTAGTGACTTAAAATCTTATTTTTCGACGTTTTTAGATATATTTGTAATTACAGAGACATTTGAATGATGTCTACAGCACAAACGAATTCGGTAACTCCTTGTAAATTTCATATGTATAAAACTGAAATTTTAGTGGCAATAACATATCAATTTAAAAAAATAAATAAATCATAGGACACTTTTTATGAAACAAGGCAATTTAAAATAAAATTATTCATATGTTTTGCAATATTTACGTGCACCCTTTACTCCTTTCTACAAAATATTCAATTTTCTATAACTCCGAAACAAAAGTATAAAAGTTACTTATGCATTTTTTTTCGATATCCAAATAATGCAGTTCGACATGCTCTAGTTGCTTGCAAAATTTCATAAAAATCCGTGGTTCAACCAGAACGAAACGAAGACTCGATCTGTCAATCTTTGTTATTGACTTATGTACTCAACGGTACATCAATATCTAAAGGTGTCAGACCACCAATTCAAAATCCCTTTTTATTCAACCATTTTTTTTCAATTTCCACAGCTTCCTAAATATTTAACCTTAAGTTTAACTTCATAGAAACCAGGCATATCCTGAACTGTACATGTATCACCTTTCTACATGCCAATTTTCAACCAATGTTTAACGTCTTGTAACGAAAAGCGACCGTTCGAAAGACAACTGTTATTAAAAAATAACCCCTGGTTTTCTGGAAATCTTAAATAAGTATACTATGGAGCAAACTCATGGACAAGTATATTTTAGCTCAAAATGGTCTAAATATATTTCTCTTTCACCAAAAGTTTCATTTCTGCAATTTTGGTGGTAAGTTTAAGTAAACAATATTGACATCAAAAGCACTATTTTTTGTCAGGGAAGGTCTTCTTTTACCAAAATTGGAGTAGGTGAATTGGTGGTCTGACAGTTAACGGCATAACGGATAAAGTCTGACGTAAAAGGCGGGGACATACAAATATAAAAAAAGACAGTCTGAGTAGGTTGATTTATTTTTTCTAAACATAAATGCCTCTCTGTTTTATAGTTACTTATTCGTGTAATATTATTAACTGCTTTGGTGAAATAGGTACATGATAAAATATTAACTACCTTTAGATGAAATGTTCCTTGTTGTTTTTCTGACAACAAAAAAGAGTATAAACACAACAAACGATACGGTAAGATAGAATCCATAGCTTTCTTCTTGTAGCGTCCATTCACTTACTGGTTCAAGTATATCTGAAACTATAGACAAATTAATGCTTTCAAGAATCCCAGAAATGAATAAATAAATGTTGCCCTTTTTGTAAGCTTGAAATAAAAACTCATTGTTGAAGGCCGTACGGTGACCTATACTTTGTTAATTTCTATGTCATTTGGTCTCTTGTGGAGAATTGTCTCATTGGCAATCGTACCACATCTTCTTTTTTATATTGCATATAAAATCCGGGTAACAGCAATAAGTAAAGTTTTAGTTTTTCTATGGATAATTATCTACGTGATTTAGCGATCTGATTTGTACTTGTACAAGATCTAAGGTTGCAACTTCGTCTGATAAATTGGTTTTGACTGATCTTTTAAGCCAATACCTTTTAGTTTTATGCTCTCAATCAATTTATATTCTGGTTTCCCAAATTTTCGGCCTCTTGCGTACCTGATGAGGTTTATTCCAGAAACACGCTTAAAGTCGGACTCAGCGGTACAGACATCAAACAATCAATATAAAGCATATATAGCAAGAGTTTGTTTTCTGATAGTAAAAATCACGAAATGATGAACGAAATGATGTTTAAGTATGTACTTAGGTCAGGTTTAGGATTTTTTGTCAGATGTTCGGACTCTTGGAATTTTTCCGACGATACAGGGTAAAATATTTTGCCCCATAACACCCATTTTTCTTTTCATATATTTATAAGACTTCAATAGCTCATAAAAGGTCCTCATTTACCAAAATTTAAGCAGATTCTAGATTTCTTTTCTTTCGATTTGAGAACCAGATAATACCAATGCAAATGTAAGGTAAAAGTCCGAGTCAGCCTTTTCCCGCCATTTAAACAAAAATTAAATAGCTCGAAAAGGAGCTTCATAACCTATATCGATATTTTTCGCTTATTTTGTTCCATACTAATGCTCTTCTGACTTATAGTACCAATTTTAAATTCTAGATTTTTTTTAATTTCACATAAGTACATCATTGACTCCAAATTACACTGAGTTATCACATCCATACCAGGAAAAAAACCATGTTTACGTGATATGAATATGAAACCTGCGTTGTACTAGACTGACGCACTAAACATGCTAGGTCACTATTTAATAATCTACATAAAAACATGTCATCTAACTGAGACACTTATTCTGAATAAAAGTCGACTATATTTACTCGTACTCACAGATGACGCGTGTTAAGTCCACAAAGGCTGCGATATAAAAACGGACTTGGTAAATTAATTTTAGAAGACCGAGTCACAAAAATTGTCGAATTCCAGGTAACATATATAATTTTATTGATTGATTGATTTTTGTTTGCTAATCGTTTAGTTGTAAATATTTCATGCATTGTTTAGGACAACAACCTTTTCTGAGAAATCCAATCTATACGACTGAAATCTGTCACTGTGTAGGAGTTAAGTAAGTGTTAAATAAAGAAATGCTTATTATCATTTACACCTGAGATCACCCCCAGGTTTCGGTGCAGTTCGTGTTGCTGTTGTACCCCTATTTGTGACATTTTACCTATTGTGTCTGTTTGTTTTGTTCACACATCGTTGTCAATATAATGGAATTTGATGCGAATGTCATACAAGTGAGAGGTTTAGCGCTTTAAAACCAGGTTTAATCCACCATTTTCTACATAAGAAAATGCCTGTATCAAGTCAGGAATATGACAGTTGTCCATTCGTTTGATGTGTTTGTGCTTTTGATTTTGCCATTTGATTAGGGACTTTCCGTTTTGAATTTTCCTCTGAGTTCAGTATTTTTGTGATTTTACTTTTTACAATGCTTTAGCTACACAACAAATAAGTGAATACCTAAACTATAATAAGGAGATATACGTGTTGGTAGGTATGCTGCTATGTCATATGGAAAAATATCTGTGTTAGACGACTGCTTAACGAGATCATAATCTCCCAACCAATTGTCACAAAGTTTACATGTAGATTTCGGCTCCAAATTGTCGCACAGCTCACATTCTGGCATAGAATCCAAACCAAATATTGACAAGAATAAATTTTCTCCTAATGTATCATCTTCGGAGCTGAAATGAATTTTATGAAATGTTAACTTAAAATCCCAGAATTATTTGAGGTTTCTTATTGCTACTGTAAAATATTTTTAGAAACTGTCGTTTTCATGTCACAACACTACTATATATTATATACGTTCGTGTTCAACTTGTATTTTTTTTTTCAAAATTGACCATTTGTACACTTAAAAATATAACGGAAAATATTGAAAAAGATACGACGTATGTCCATTCACGTATTGTATTACACTCGTACAAATAATTTGGAATCTAATTTTGAAGCGGTTATAAATACTGCAGATATATGCTCGTTCATTTTCATACTCGACTTAATCGCCGTAGATTTGCATTATTTGGCGAAAATATCTCAGAGGGTACAGACTAAAAATGGTAAAATCGATTTTCCTGATAGGGGTAGGACAGAAAAGCATGACCGGTCGAAATATTGACGATGTTTCATTAGACTAGTTATTGTGCTGTAATGTTATAAAACAATGTTTTTCCGCAACCCTTACTTCCCCCTTATGTTATTATTAATTCAACCCCGAATCTCTCCATATATCTAACTAAAGTTTTACGCTTTATTAATTTGTTAATTAATTGTTTACCTAATCTTAACCTTCTCCGACCCTAAAGTAAAATAATATCACCTTACCAAAAAGGCAATGACATCGTCAATAAGTACGCTTTCGGTTTCTCTCATTCAATTTTTAACTTATTGCTTACCTATAACTGGTAAATATTCCTAGTAACAATATAATAGTATGCAATGAAAACTGAAAATTCATTTTTGCGTCTTTTTGTGGTTGATTTTATCCATCATGATTTGAAGCGTGGTCTTCTATCTTGCTTGTTTCTCCATGACGTCTAATCCCTATAGAACGTTTTATGACGTTGTCGTCATTGTTTGCAAAGCGACGTTTGTCGGACCATTTAACTTCGTTACTTGAAGATATACCGCTGGGCGGATCGAGGAGAAACAATTTTTGGAATATTTCATACAAAAAATTATGTATTTTTCTTGAAAAACTTGAGATTTAATTTTTTTTTGCGCTCGAAGTGGGGCATACGCCCTCTACGCCTACCCCTGGTTCCGCCATTGATATTAACAAAAGTTGTTTAAAAGACTGGATAAATTTGATGTTGAGGAACATTTTATATTCGAATTTACCTTATATAAAATTTTGAGAACGAGCTGTATGATAAAATTTTGATTTTCCAAAGCGTTTAAAAACTTTAAAAGATTTCAAAAAATTAAAAGAACTGCTAGATTCATTTAATTTAGCTTTTTTATTCAAGAAAACCTAGATTTTTTTAAAATTATTTGAACTTCAAATAAAGAAATGTTTGAACTCAGAAAATTATCAATATAGCAATATAGGACACGTACAATGTATATCTACATGTAATCTATATGAAATAGTTGCCTGTTATTATATATAATCTGCTTTCATTATTGTTTTTTACACATACATACTTATGGGTCTAGTCTGACAAGGGGCTTTAAATCATAAAATAAGGTGATAATATATTATATATGATTGTCAAAATTATTTTGAGTCTTTCAATTACATCACTCACTTTAATAAATTACTTTGCTCATAATCTGAATAAAAAAAATATTATCTTATATTTGTATAGTTTTTTAAACTTGTTATAGTGGCTAGGAAAGATATATTTTTTGCTATAACTGTGTCTGCCTCCAAAAAGTGAAGTCATTATATACTTACTTACTTTATTTATACAGCCATTTGAAGAGAAGGTACAACACATGGCTCAATGAGGGCCAGACACAAGCGCACCAGACACACCGCCCTAAAATAAGTCATTTAAAAATAAATAAAGATGTCACAACATGTCTTCATTAGAATTTTGAAGGTACAGTGTAAGCATCTTCTGCTAAACATTGGACTCCAGTATGGAAGTAATGTTTTTTTTTAAAAGGACTGCAAATTATGAGGCATACCATGAACTAAGTTGCATTTATATTTTGTAAACCATCCCTGTAAGACAGTAGCGAAATATATAGCAAAGGGACATTCAAACTCATAAGTCGAAAATAAACCGACAACGCCATGGCAAAACGAGGAAAGGACAAAAAGACAAACAACAGAATCCAAAACACAACATAGAAAACTAAAGACTGAGCAACACGAACCCAATTAAAAACCAGGGGTGATCTTAGGAGCTCCGAAAGGGTAAGCAGATCCTTCTCCACATGTGGCACCCGTCGTGTTGCGTGTAAGAATTGCCAAATGAGGGTAATTTCGACACAGTGTATTTTTTTAATGTTCATTGTTTTATTGTCGCCATGAGGACACCATGTATTTTAATCGGACCCTACATTTACCTTATTCTAATTAACGTCACAGTACCCAAATTGCACTCATTTAGCAAACATAGCAACGGAAATCTTACAAGTTTCCCTAGAGACTAAACAATTTGTATTTTTTATTATTTGACATTTTGCATGTCTTTCAACATAGCTAAATATATTTGATTACGCACAACATTACATTCAAAGTATATACCAACAGATGAAGTATTCACCGGAAAAAGTAAAATCTACGGAAACGTCGCCATGCGACGTCCCCAAAAAGTCAAATTTTAAAAGTGAACATGTCAATTAGAATATGTTACAGGCGTCCATTTCTAAAAAAATGAATAGTAAGCACGGTCTTTTGTCAAATTGTTCTAAATATTTGAAGAAATAGAACAAAACTTCAGTTATCGATTTTTACGGATGTGAATTTAAGCATGGATGCAATTTTGGTAATCCTCTTAAAGAATCATGGGTCGTTCGGAGGTCGGTTCAAACCAATTTTTCTATGATTCAATATGGATTCAAAATTAAATTCGCGGAACTATATAGTGAATAAGGATACATCTACAAAATAAACGCAGAATGGAAACTTTTGTCTGGATCATAAAAATAAACGTGGGTGAAAAAACTGTCCAAATAGGTGCAATTTGGGTACCCTCACGTTAGTCAAGTTTAGAAGCAAAGTATACCTAACCAATGATTCGCAATTCATGAATCAAATTTTGGATTTTTGATACACCCTTGACTGCATGTCGAAAAAGTATCAGATAGCTTAGGACTTTTAGATAAACTCTCTAAAAATAGTTTTATACTGTAACTTACCGTATAATATATAGATATAAGAAGATGTGGTATGAATGCCAATGAGACAACTCTCCATCCAAGTCAAAATTTATAAAAGTAAACCATTATAGGTCACAGTACTGTCTTCAACACGGAGCCTTGGCTCACACCGAACAGTAAGCTATAAAGGGCCCCAAAAAATTACTAGTGTAAAACCATTCAAACGGGAAAACCAACGGTCTAATCTATATAAAAAACGAGAAACACTAATGAACCACATCAACAAACGACAACTACTGAACATCAGATTCCTGAATGCATTGTTTGTGACGTTGATTATTTGTTTCCGTAGAGTTGTATTAATGACGTCTATAAAGAATACAGGTTCACGGAATTTTTACGTGGTCCGCTTCAAATTCAAATTTGATGGATTTTAACCAAAATATTTCATTTTGTGGAACATTTGGAAGAGTTGCAGTATTAAGAGAACAACTATAAAGTAGCTATCTATCTATCTATATATATATCTATCTATCTATCTACCTTACATTGTCTCGAAATATAATATCGAGCGGGAAGATGAATACATTTTTTAGCAATGAACGAATCTCAATCTTTCTATCAAATCATCTTTGAAAAAAACCTTGAAGATGTGCATCTTAAACCTTGTGTCTCATTTGGAGAATAGTAGATCTTCAAATTATAAAACTGCAGGATGTTTTTGATTTACACATTGAAAAGTTTAGGAGACCGGGAAACTGTAAAAGAGGGAAAAGAGGATGGTCAGTAATATTGAGATGGACAATTAACCTCAAATGATAGAAATAACACTTTATTGAAGTACTCTTAATATAAAAATAAGGAGATGAGGTATGGATATAAGAAGATGTGGTATGAGTGCCAATGAGACAACCCTCCATCCAAGTCAAAATTTATAAAAGTAAATCATTATAGGTCAAAGTACGGTCTTCAACACAGAGCCTTGGCTAACACCGAACAGCAAGCTATAAAGGGCCCCAAAAATTACTAGTGTAAAACCATTCAAACGGGAAAACTAACGGTCTAATAATGTATAAAAAACGAGAAACGAGAAACACTTATGAACCACATCAACAAACGACAACTACTGAACATCAGATTCCTGACTTAGGACAGGTGTAAACAATTGCAGCGGGTTTAAACGTTTTAATGGTACCAAACCTTCACCCTTATCTGAGAAAATAGTGTAACATCACAACATAGAAAAACACACTATAAAATATCAATTGAAATGGCTTAACTCAATCAAAAGACATATTAACACCGGCGAACATACACTGAACAAATAAATTTGATCTATGATACAATGCAAATACAAAATAAATAAACTAAGGGAAGAATAATTAAAGTAACATGTTATACCGCTGTGAAATGTTAAACAATTTAAGAAAAACAATATACTTGAACAATAATATCAGCCATTTGCAATTACTTTAAACACAGGTAAATAAAAATAATTTTGTTGTTAGGTATACGTGTACAGTTCAGATAGAGAAAGGAAATATTTTTACAAAATAAATAATTTTGATGTTCATAGTACGAAGCATTACAATTAGTATCAACAGGTCATAAACAAGAAAGTACGATTTGAGAGTACTCGCAGTTACTGACAGCTAGTTAAAAGCCAAAAACAATTAAACAATTAATAATAAAAAATCATGCATCAGAGACTAAAATCAACTAAACACATCCCAGGGATTTAGTATTTTAACATCATGGACAGTCAAAGAAGACATGACTTGTGCAATGTCAAAAATAAATGTATCGACAGGCAGTAGGATAGTTAGGAGTTAACCTCTTTATAGATCAAAATGAACGTGTGTGTGTCTTTATACATCCCGTTTGAAAAGAATACAAATTTAG